TCAATTTTTTCAATGAAAATAATATTCGAGGTGAAATATGAAATACGTTAAATTTGGCGTCTTTTACTAAAAAAAATGGGACGGGCAATATCTTTGAAAATCATATTAAATGAAGCTAATCTCCCTGAATAAATTGATATATGGCATGTGTGCATTAAAAAAAAAAAATAAAAGTTGGAGGGAGACGCAAACCTTACCTTAATTGATGCTTTCACATGCACAGAGGCAACTGACGTTACTTATTTTCATTTTAATTATTAGGTAGGGGGTTTATTTTTTATTAAAAGAAAAATAAGTAACGTCAGGTGCTGATCTTGCACATGAATCATATATGTATTCCTTTTGAGAAAAAACTTTCCTTTGGTACCAATAATTTATAAATTACATTAAGCACTTGGAGTATGATCTACTAAATTATGAAAAGCTGAAAACCCTGATCGGCATATTTTTTCCTGGGAAAGGGGGGAGGGTAAGGGGGCAATAATTTTACCATGTTTTAATTCTATTTCTTGATCTTAGAATTTGAGTAATATTTGAAAACTTTAATCTTGGTCTGTATAGGAGCTGTCATTAGCTGAATCAGTGTTTCACAAGAACATCTTCTTTTTAAATTGTCTCATTTGAATTAATACCTGTTCATGTGCTGTATTAACTTTAAATATGTCAAATTTGCATCAGGTTCAAGATTAAAAAAATATTAATTTCATATTGGCGTCATATCAAAAAAAAACCTCAAAGTAGCCAGTAGGCAGTTGTACACTGGGCCTATAATATTCGATAAACACTTCTAATATAGCAGTGACACGAAAGAGTAGGTAAGCTAATCCATAATGTTCAGAAGATTTTTAAAGAATTTAAGATTGACAGGATGTCAACTCCTTACTCTGTGACTCGAGAGCAGACACTCTAACCAGTGTGTCATGCAGACAAGTTATTAGTTATTGAGAGCAAGAATAAAGTGATATCACCAAACACAAACCAACTTTAGACTAGCTACATGTATTATACACTGACTTTAAATGTATCCTCTATAAGTACATTTTAATTCAATTAACATGATAAATATAGACATATTGTAAACAAATTCAGAGTTAATAAGAAATTGCAATTGATCTTTTTTTCAGCTGAGCTGTCCTGTAGCTGTTTTAACTGAGGAGTGGCAGAATGAGGGCAAATGATAGTGTATAGCAGCTTCCAGCAGGTGTTGGGGCCACAATTGCCGATCAAAGTTTTACATAGAAATATGAAAAAAAATATTTTAAAAATCTTCTTCTCAAGAACCACTGTGCAAGCAGAGATGAAACTCAAAAGGAAGCATCTTCAGGTAGTGTAGTACAACTTTTTTTTTTTCAAATCATGACCCCTGGGGGTAGGGGGGGCACAATGGCTGATCAAAATTTTTACATAGAAATATATAAGAAAATTCTTTAAAAATCTTCTCAAGAACCACTGTGCCAGAAAAGATAACTTATAAGAAAGCAGCCTCAGGTAGTATAGATTCAATTTTTTTTCAAATAGTGACCCCGGGGGTAGGGCGGGGCCACAATGTCCGATCAAAGTTTTACATAGAAATATATAGGACAATTTGTAAAAAATTTTCTCAAGAATTAGCAAAGGCATGAATGATCATATTTATATGTCAGCATCTTCAGGTAGTGTAGATTAAGGTTTGTTCTATTCATGACCCCAGGGGGTAGGGGGGGGCACATTTATAGCCAATCAAAGTTTTACATAGAAATATTTAGGAAAATTCTTTAAAAATCTTTTTCTCTATAGCAAAGGCATGAATGATCATATTTTTATGGAAGCATCTTCAGGTAGTGGAGATTCAATTTTGTTCAAATCATGACCCCTGGGGATAGGGCAGGGCCAATATGGCCGGTCAAAGTTTAATATGGAAATATATAGGAAATTTCTTTTAAAATCTTCTTCTCTGGAATAACAAAAGCATGAATGATAAAATTTTTATGGAAGCATCCTCGGGTAGTAGACATTCAAGTTTGTTCAAATCATGACCCCTTTGGGTAGGGCGGGGCCACAGCATGGAATACAAGTTATACATAGAAACAAGTAGAAAAAAATCTTTAAAAAATCTTTTTAAGAGATTTTTTATGATTGTCCTATTCATATGGAAGCATTCTCAGGTAGTGTAGATTCAATTTTGTTTGAATCATGACCCATGGGGGTTGGGCTGGGACACAATGTTCAAATGTAAAGGGCAATAAAACCACAGGTAGTCAAAGAAATATGCGAGCATCCTAAATAGTTAGTGTAGATTCAAGTTTGTTCAAATCATACCCTATCTCTTCCTTTTAAGGATTGTTTGGGACCACTATTGGGTTTCAACTTTTCAATAATAAACTAATTTATTCTTTTTTCCTAGCAACATTGCTCAGGTGAGCGATGTAGCCCATGGGCCTTTTGTTGCTTAAACAGGCGAATTATGACAAAGAGCTTCTCTCTCTACAAGAGACCTTACAACAGAAGGTCATGACCTTCCTGAGTGACCCATACAACAGAAGGTCATGACCCTGCTGAGTGACCAAGACGACAGAAGGTCGTGACCCTGCTGAGTGACCCATACAACAGAAGGTCGTGACTCTGCTGAGTGACCCATACAACAAAAGGTCGTGACCCTGCTGAGTGACCCAGACAACAGTGTTAAACAGACCCTACTGGAGAACGCAATCACAAAGCTGTGTGTCTTTATAATTCTTTGGCAGGCAGAAAAGTACTCCCTTTACCAAAACCAGGCATTGAAAAAACTTTTCTCAACAAGATATAATTCGACAATCTGATGTAAAGTTAAAACATGTTTGAGTTGTGGTAGTTGTTTGAAGTTTGATCTCATTCTCTAGCCTGATAAAGAGTAAATGTGGCTTAGGATGGTTGATTTGATTTTTTAGAAATGTTAATTTCTGTATTTAATTTTCAGCCAATGATGTGTTGCTGTCTCACATGATTACTTTCCTCCATGACAAGGTAAGATAACTCAGGTTTTGTTAAATGATAATTAAAGTTATAAAGTCCTATGTGAAATTAAGAAAACTTTCTATGAACAGTGATGTACTTGTACCGTATGTGTAATGTATACAGGGTTATTTTCACTCTTTCACAGTTTCAAACAATTTTTCCCCACTTTGAATTTATGTAGCTTAATTTGTTCAAGAAATTATACTGAATTCTTTGATTTTGCCTGAATGAGGGTGGGTGGAAGTTGCTAAAATTTCCCAGTATATGGTATTAAGAATAGCAGGCTTCATATTTTAGAGGCTTTGGAACGGACGATAATGTGCTAATTTATGAATACAGTAAAACTTGTTTAGTACAAACCCCGATATTGCGAATCCACGGATAAAGCGAAGTTATCATGGATACCTTATCTATATTGATTTAATCAATTCCTTATATGGATATAATGAATAAGGGATATAGGGAATTAATTTCAGAGGTCCCCTTGTCTTTGTTTTATCCGAGTTTTACTGTATCTCTAAGGAATCTTTTATAAATACAAAATATGACACAGACATATGTAGTACTAATTCATGATTACGCCAACAACTCATACCCAGTGAGTGCACTAAAATTTGAATATGCCAAATTACACTGTATGTACACGTACATTATATTCTTTATTTTCAGACTGACTGGCATCTCCGCGTGGCTCCTTCTTTGACAACATTGTGGGTGTGGCCGCCTACATTGGGTGGCAGAGCTGCTCTATACTGAAGCCATTTTTTGACCAGGTACGGGAATCAGGTGATAATAATTATAGCCAGTCAAATCTTACAGAAACAATGATAATTAAATCCCTAATGGAAATAATGATTTCACAGTATAAACTTTATTTTCTGTTTCAGGGCCTAAGTGACCGGTAGAAGAATTTGTTGTACACAAGACATTAGGGGCTGACTGCAGGCTCTTACAGAATTAGGTCTCATTCAGAAATCCACGCTCCAGGAGTTCTTACTTGAAGTGGTCCCTTTTTTGGCACACCCTGTAAGTAACCAATAAAAAAAATGTGACCAAATAATTACATATATTTTATATCATATATTTATTTAGTCTAATACTGTGCTCACTTTTGTAAACATAATTCTTATTTCGATTAATTTAATCAAAGGAGTACAATTCTAACAGTTTGTAAAGGGTTTTGTCGAACACTCTTGGGTATAAATATTCATGTTGGATTGAATAGCTTGTACCGCCAGCCATTTTTTAAGGTCACAACTCCTCAAGGCCGTGCTGTCATCTTCTGTTTAGGTCTGTGGAGACCCATTTGGAGTCTGGGTATTCCCATGGTAGATTCTGTATCGTGGGCCCAGGTAAAGCCATAACCAGGAGACATGCTGAATTACTAAAATAGAAAGATCCAAAACAACCGGGAGTGGATCTAAGTACTTCCAGGTTTGTGAACTGTAAATACTACTGACTGTATTCTGAAGATAGAATGAAAGGCATGAAGCTCTACTGAAGTTTTCCGTGTTTTTTTTTAGTACTACTGACTGTACACAGTGTTTTCTTGTTGTTAGGTAATATCAGTATAGTGCAAAATTCATGCAGTTGGATCATTAAAATTTGGAGCACGTGGGTTACAATTTAATTTGAAACGTTTGCATAAAATTACTAATAGATAAGTTTTTACCCCTTTACATGGAGAAATTTTGCTTCCAAAAAATAAAAATGTTTTATTCATTGATGTAAGTGATTTTTTTTTGGTTTTCTAGTCGATCTTCTAAAAAGACAATTCCAAGTTGAAGTTCAGTTTACTCACCCAGACCAATCTATTGGTACATGAATCCAAAGAACCAATCTGTTAACATGGTGAGTAGCTGTATGGTGTTACTCTACATTTGTTTGTTACAGACAAAGTTATTTAAAAACCAAAAATGCCTACATTTTAATTGAATAAAAAAAAATTATGTAAAGGTTTCTGTTAATGGTAACTTAATATTATTAATTATATTGTATGGATATTTCAGAACTCTGAGTGGAAGAGTATGTTTGGCTCCAATGAATCAGATTCCTCCTCCAATGGTTTGTACGTCTCCAAAAGCCCGGATGTCGACCCTATACTGTCTCCAATTTAAGCTCGGACCCTACAGAAAAATGCAGAGAGTCTGGAGAGGAAGCTACACACTTCACAGACCATGAGTCAGGCATCATCTTCATCATCGGAAAGCTTTGTAATGATGTCACAGAGTCAGGGGTCATCTGAGGGGTAAGATCCCTGTCAGAGAAAACCACCGACAAAAACACCACCAGTAAGATCCTCCATGTATAAGTATCTCAGTTGCTTTAAAATTGTTATTTACTGTGCTGATAAACATGTGATATACTTGTATATGTATTGTATTGTATGTTTTAGTGCTAAAATACTTTGAAATATTTAATCCTAAAAAAATACAATATTTTGAATTACAGCAAAATATCCCTGTAAGATAGTCCTGAGGAACATTGTCCACAAGAAGCAAGAGTTGTACAAGGCCGAGTCTAAAGACTTACTGGACATAGCCCGGGAGAGGAGGCCCCCACCCAGTAACTGGAAACCCTGGGAGAAGAAGCCCCCACCCAGTAAGTGGAAACCATGGGAGAGGAGGCCCCCACCCAGTAACTGGAAACCCTGGGAGAGGAGGCCCCCACCCAGTAACTGGAAACCCTGAGAGAGGAGACCCCCACCCAGTAACTGGAAACCCTGGGAGAGGAGGCCCCCACCCAGTAACTGGAAACCCTGGGAGAGGAGGCCCCCACCCAGTAAGTGGAAACCATGGGAGAGGAGACCCCCACCCAGTAACTGGAAACCCTGGGAGAGGTGGCCCCCACCCAGTAACTGGAAACCCTGGGAGAGGAGGCCCCCACCCAGTAACTGGAAACCCTGGGAGAGGAGGCTCCCACCCAGTAACTGGAAACCCTGGGAGAGGAGAACCCCACCCTGTAACTGGAAACCCTGGGAGAGGAGACCCCCACCCAGTAACTGGAAACCCTGGGAGAGGAGGCCCCCACCCAGTAACTGGAAACCCCGGGAGAGGAGGCCCCCACCCAGTAACTGGAAACCCTGGGAGAGGAGGCCCCCACCCAGTAACTGGAAACCCTGGGAGAGGAGACCCCCACTCAGTAACTGGAAACCCTGGGAGAGGAGACCTCCACCCAGTAACTGGAAACCCTGGGAGAGGTGGCCCCCACCCAGTAACTGGAAACCATGGGAGAGGAGGCCCCCACCCAGTAAGTGGAAACCATGGGAGAGGAGACCCCCACCCAGTAACTGGAAACCCTGGGAGAGGTGGCCCCCATCCAGTAACTGGAAACCCTGGGAGAGGAGAACCCCACCCAGTAACTGGAAACCCTGGGAGAGGAGACCCCCACTCAGTAACTGGAAACCCTGGGAGAGGAGGCTCCCACCCAGTAACTGGAAACCTTGGGAGAGGAGAACCCCACCCAGTAACTGGAAACCCTGGGAGAGGAGACCCCCACCCAGTAACTGGAAACCCAAGGGACTACTGGTGGCTCACCTCTAGGAACACAGGGCGGCAGCCAACAGGTAGGGAGGGGGGCACAGAGAGTATTGGTTAATGACCTGTATAAAAAGGAAAATAATTATATACTAGTACATGTACATAATTAAAGAATGTGTTATCTACTAGCAGGCTTCAAGTTTCTCAAGACCATGCATTCTTTGCCACAGACTCCAATGATGGTACAGTCAAATTATGGGAGTCTGAAAAACTGGAGGGACACAGTGTTGCTAACCGCTCTAAACAGACCCTCAAGAATAGTTGAATCCACACTTTTCAAAAGTTATGTCCCTTGGTCGCCACCAAAGAATCCTCACAGTACCCTTTGTTGTTGTCAGGTTTGTAACTTTGTCATTTGACTGAGAAGAATCTTGCATAGTGTACATCGATTGCCCCATGTAGGGGCTACCCACACATCCAAAGAAAACAATTGAAACACAGTGGATTCATCATAACCCACCCAAATGTTTGGTAGCATAAAGAGGAGAAATGTTGTTTCTTTCCCTTTTGACCTTTTGGTTGACCCCGCAAAGGGAAGCAACTTTTGTAAAATGTGTTTTGGTCTATATACTTCTGTACCTGGTAAAATAACAAATTACTTTGATATACACTGTATTATGTCATTGATTGTTTTTTAAATCGTCAGAAAAGAACCCGTACGAAAGTTCGAGGCGGAATAGGCACGGCTTGGGCACGGCTAAGACACGGAATCCGTACGGGTTTTTAAAAAGCGGCACGGGTTCTGCATGTCCAAGACACGGACATGGCTTCCGTGTCTGAAAGTGAGGAATCCTCACTCACAGAAACCCGTGTGGAGACACGGACTCCGTGTCCCAGGGAGACGGTTTTTAACTGAGGCGGGTTTTGCTTCAAACTATTTATTTATATCTCACGGCTTTTTACTGAGCATGCTCAATCATAACTTCCTTTATTTGAATATTAAATTGGAGGGATTCTTGGTCATGAGCTAAGTCAGTGTGTCTTTTTGCTCTATTTAAAGGATATTTAACCAATAGATGTCAGTTGGAATTGTATTTATGTCAGTCTGGGATAATTTCTTCACTTTTAAACTAAATGCAGTAAGTGTAATCTAGAATAAATTAGTCAATTTTTCAATTTTCATGATCTTCCTGTATTGCAATGTTGACAATGAACATGATGAAATAGTTTAGGCTTATTTGAATGACTTTAGTTGGACTTTCACTAATGTGACATCACTGTGCTATAGAATGAAAGTTTTATTTATACTAAATTCTTTCTCAAATTGTGCAAACTTATCGCTACTAGATTAAATTACAATTGAATTGAATATTGTACATTATTATTAAAATCATAATTAAAAACAAGCATGAATTGTAACTGATAAAGTTAATCATTAACAGAAAGTAAATGTAAACATTCATATATAAAACTAAGCATAAATGCAAAGCAATGTGAAGTAAGTTTGGTTTCAGTCACTATTTTGGCATTCACAGTTACATCAGGACATTCTCTAAGGGCCATGACCTAGATCTAGACGAATGCACAGATCCCGTGACTCCTTATATGGTATAAGGCACGGCTTTTTTGACACGGGTTTCCAAAAAACCGTGTCTCCATATATGGAAAAGG